TATATTTTAGCTATTATCGATAAAATATTAAGTACTTAAAGAAAAGGTTAGCCTTTAAGTAAGCCTATTAAGTAAAGGTAAGTAAATAATGCTAAAAAAAAATGAAATAGCTAAATAAATAAAAGTAAAGGCTTTGTTAAGTAATTTAAATAATAATAAAAAATATAAATAGTTTAATATAGCTACTAGCTTTATAAAATCTATTTTCTTAAGTATAATAAATATTACTATTACTACCATTATTACTACTAATAAAGCCCCTTCCTGCGCTAAATGCTAGACTTTACTATAGTTTTAATATCATCCCGAACTGATGATTCCCATACTTCTTCTCCCTTTAACGGAACCCATCCTAACTTTCGGGCAACGCTAGCCACGGTTCGTGCATTGCTGTTTAATATCTGTGCCGCCAACATCGTCAAGTCCCCCATAGAGTCAGAAAAGCCTATGAGCGGCACTAAAGTCTTTGCCGCTTCCTCTAAGCTGATATGAGCGACTGTGTTGCTTAACAAAGCACCCTCTTCATAGCCAGCATTCGCCACGAGTTTCATAAATTCGAGCCACGAATGCTGTCCATTTCCATTGAACACAATCCCTTTTTTCCCTGTTGGCAAAGCCTTCCCTTCTCTTTCTAGGATCTCCTGCACAAGAAGACGATACAGTTCAGCTAGATCCTCAACGTGCACATGATCCCATACTCCTGCTCCATCATCCACCACGACTGCGCGTCCTAGCTTTATCATGGCCTTCATAAACACAAGATGCATACTGGTATTGTGAAACAACCCGGTTCCATTCCCATAGATGATGGGACACATGAGCACAATCGTTTTGACACCTAACTCAAGACCTGTGTCAATGACGTCCAGCTCAACGGTACGCTGCGGGTAGGGTCCCAAAGACTCTTTCTCCTTTTCGAAGGTGTAAACATCATCGGCAATGTCGTCAAGTTGACGACCATCGGCGTTCGCAATCACCAGATCAGCAATATTGGATGTGCCGGAGGTGTGAATCATCCAGACATCATGTCCGGTAACTGCCTTTCGCTGCGCCAAACCGCGAAGAAGAGCCTTTGTCGATGGAGAGTGATAGCTCAAGGTGGTATTTATTACAACGTCATGTTGTGCAGCGACCGCCGTTGTGGCTTCCAGGTCATCGAGGCCTTCATAGAGGACTGGCTTTACCCGGTGACCATAGGTGGCTGAGAGGAGAGATGCGCGGTCAGGACCACGCATCAAGCAGGTGACGGGGCCTGATTGAAGAGATGGTGAGCGGAGAAGTGCTGCCAGGACGCTGCCCCCGATAAAACCCGTTGCACCAGTGAGGAGAATATTCTTGTTGTCGGATGCCATTTTGCGTGACGGTTCAAGTAGACAGCGGGAAGGTTAGATATAAAGAAGTGCGATATAAATGCTTATCCGGTAGTGAAGCTCTCAAAGTGTTACATATAGAGGGCGTTAGAGAGATTGGGGATAAATTCACGTTCTATATAGCAGACCGGTTACCTTTTATATCTCGAGCTGGGCAGATTGGAGTCAGGCAGAGTGAAATCGTTGCCCCACATGATAGAGGCGGACTTGGTTAGCAATCGCTGCACTCCGCAGCTGTAGAGGCGGACTTGATTAGCAATCACTATGAACGTCCCCACTCCGCCACTAATACGACGTAGTCCTCCGCTTGCTTAAGTTGGCGACTCCTGAGGTAGAGAGAAAGTGGAGGTATTGTGGGGTGAATGCTTTGAGAGAGTAAGTCTCTAGGGTGCAATGAGGGACGCCGGCCTCTCGTGACTTTGGTAGGAGCGTGAGAAGTCGAATTTCGTCACTGTTCTCATCTAAGGGGTGATAAAGTCTGCTCATCTCCGAGGACGAGGATTCTTGGGGAGCGGGCTGCAATGACTTTCTGGTCTTGAACTTCGCTTTCTCAAATAAGCTAGACGCCATCTTGACTAATAATAGTGCACATCGGCCTTGTTGTGCGATAGATGTGACGGTGCCAAGTGCGTGCGGGGAGGCCTCAACAGCTGAAAAGGATCCCTGTAACCAGGCGCAGCCTGTCCAGTCATGGCATGCCATACTGAGACATTTGCTTCGACAGGAACTTCACAATCTGACGTAAGAAAAGTCTGTAAAAGCCTGGTTTCGTATAGCAATTGAATGCAAAATTCATATAGGACATTGGATTGTGACTTCTGTGGATGCTGGTACCTGTAGAGATCTGCTTAGGTGAGAGGCTTGTGTTGCCAGGAACTCGACTATTGGAGCTCAGAAGCTTTTATAAAAACTCTGAGCAATACTATAATGGGATGTAATTGATCCTGAGGACCACGGTGTAGTTTCTGATTGTGCGCAGTACCGTTCAAGCTTTCGCGGGTTGACGAGGTATGGGGCTTGACTGGGGGGGAATTAAAATACCAGGAACTCGGCCATTTGTGATCGGAAAAATCTATAAAAAGCTGGCTTCGTGTTGCGGCAGCTCGGTCAACAATCTGAGACTATTCGTCAATTTATTTGTGGTATTGCAGTAGTTGTCAATTGTGACCTCCCCTCAGCTCAACGGAGTCACATTGCCATTTTCCAGGTAAAGCTGCAACTCGCGCAATTATCCCTTGAATTCTCTATAAATTGTGTATTTAGATATTTAATCAAGCTGGAAGCTGTGCCGGCGATCAGAACCCTTCATCCGCATGTAGATTGTGCCCATCCCGCCGCTTGTCATTTCCCATAAAGTAGTTGATGGGCGTTGATGATGGAGGCGTGCAGACACCAGGATCTCAACCCTGAGGGATCGGAAGAATTGTAAAGCATTTGGTGTATACCGAGTATGGTATCAGGAGTAGTCTTGCCAATTACAACACCTCATTTGGGTTGAGGCTGCTTATTTCCCGGTCCTTTGTTGTTGACAATCCAGATCGTGCTCAATGCCCGGTAACATGTTGGCGTGTGTCCCAAGGCGCAATTGGTTAATAATTGTGATATCAGGTCATTTCACATGTCGAGTTCGGGACATGAGAAGCATGTGCATGATCAAAAGACCAAAAAACACCGCCCAGTTTCATTGCCGCCAGTATCAACACCCAGTAAACACCCCAGGAAAAAAACCCAAACGCCAGACAACCACGCCAAACACATGTCCACAGACAGACAACTACTCCAGGTCCAACATCCCCTTCCAAGCACCAACATCCTCCTCCCGCAGAGTGGCCAAACCATCAGGCCCATACTCCACCATCCCAAGGTACACATCGCACCGCTCCTTTTCCAACCTCAGGTCACGGACAGACTGTTCCAGGGTCGCTTTCTCAGCGCCCACCATCACCAACTTCTCCTCAACACGCTTGAACTTTCTCTGCTCCTCCTGAGCAGCCGCCACCACTCCCTCAGCAGTTTGAGCATCCCGGGATGCTTTGTCGAGCTCGCTTCGAGCCGTTTCCAGGGCTTGGACATGGTAGGTTGGCGCATCGGGCAGCGCCAATTCCTGGTACCCGTCCACGTATCGCTGGTGCTTGGTGACCAGGACCGAGGAGGCTGTGAGGCGAGCTGAGGCCTCCTTGATGCTCTCCTGGAGCGCGCTGGAATAGACATTGGCGATTTGTCGTTGCAGGGCAACGACCCGGGGTTCGATCTCGTCCAGGAGTGTTTTTGCCTCATTGAGGCGGTCCTCAGCAGCAGCCGACTTCTCTCTGAGGATGGAGATGTGCTCCGAGCGCACTAGCTCTTCGCGGTTCTACTATCATGTCAGGAATTGAATGGAATTGTCAAGTCGAATGGGTGGTCACATACGGTGGTGGTGTCTGGGCTGGAAGAGGCCCTTGGTTCTAGGTTCTTGAACGAGCGCCGTTTGCGGCGCGAGGCTTCTGTGTCACTCGCATAGCTAGGTCGCTTCTGAGGGTTTCCTAGTATACTATTAGCGTTTGAGCATTCCTATATGCTTTTTGATAAGGGATAATACTTACGGTTGGGGGGATCTTCATGCTAGGAAGACTCTCTCTCATCTGCCCGAGAAGACAACCTCCTGCTACCACGGGTAGCCGATTTCTCACTCAGCCACCGATCTGCTTGAGTGCACGCCTCCTGGTTGAGGCCACCACACGACTCTGCATTGTCCTTGAACCAAGCCACCACGTCGTCAACCGTGGTGTCAGCCTTTGTGCTGGCTGAGGAGATGATCTTGGCCAGGGACACCAAGACGTTCTTGCTCCAGGACCGAGGGACAGCATCGGCAAAGAGTTGACTGGGCCACATGCCCGAAACAGAGCGGATCTGCAGAGCGCTGGCGGGCGACGAGCGGTAGAGAACAGGGACATCGATTTGAGGGGACGGGGAAGACATCGCGAAGGGAAATTTGGTGTTGACGAGACGGGACGAAAAAAAGGGCGAGACGGGATGAAAACGGCGCGGGAGTCGGTATTCAATAGATTGAACCGAGGGCTTAAAAACGGCGGGAAACGCGCAGGGAAATCGAGAGGCTGATGATGGAGTTGAAGAGAGGGAAAACTTACAAAGACTTGCGTGACGACTGAGTTATACGTCGAGGGCAGTACCGATCAAAGGGGAAAGAGGTAGAAGCAGAGTTTTCAACCCGCAGGAAATAATCAATCAAGACTCGCAAAATAAATTATAAACTCATTGGCCAGTTCTCTATATATTAGTCAATAAGTAGCTTGATCTTTATCGTCATTGAACCTCTGATGGTTGAGTTCCTGGCGTCCTAATATCTCGGTGATGCTGCTGGTGGCATGAGACTTGGGATCTCAGACAGCGGCTGCGACCTTCAATACCAGGATCTCTACGAATAATGGACTCAGACTCAAATAACTAACAGAATGTGTTATTTAGCCCTCAGCGACAACTAAGACAATGCAAGCCAATTGAATCAATGTCGATGTGGCCTGCAATATCGCCCGTCAATGTGGGAGGTTGATGTGTTAGACTCCCAGCGCCTGAATTTAGAGCGTATCCACTAACTTAAGCGCTAGAGCAAGCTAACGAACGTTAATCCGCGTGCACCGGGATTACATCCAGCAAAGAATAGAGGACCATTTAAAAAGCTTTTACATGGCCAGAATGAATAAACGACATAGGATTCAATAGCATAAGTATGTCACTTCAAGATTGAGTCGCTGGCGTGCACTCTTCATCGTAGCTGTTAAGCTGAACGAAGTCCACCAAGTTTAGCGTGTCAACCACCAGGCGAACACCTCACACTCAATCACCAGGAACTCAGCCATCAAGGGGCGACTGATGATGCAAAGCTTGACAATATAGTCAGAGTACCCAAGCGACACAGGAATCAATTACATAAGTATACCACTTCAAGATCGGGCTGTTGTCGCGGACTCTTCTTTATCAAAGTCAAGGTGAACGAACCCCGACCAAGTTTAGCGCGTTGACCGCGAACCGAGCACGTCACATTTGATTACCAGGAACTCAACTATTGAGCCGTAACTTATAATGCAAAATTTGACAATATGATCAGATCATCCATGCGACACAGGAATCAATTGTAAAAGGACGTCACTTGAAAACTGGATTGTTGGTGCAGACTGTTCAAAATGGTAATTAAGGTGCAGTTCGCCCCATGAAGTTGGCCGTGTTTACTACCAGGAGAGAACTTATATCACCAGGAACTCAACCATCCAGTAGTCAATAACAATAAAAAACACTATACCGTGGTCAGGGTATATAAGCGACACAGCATTCAATTGAAAGACTATTTTATTCAAAGGCTGTGGTGACGGCGTGGACTGATCCATCCCGCCAACTTGTTTGAACGCTCGTCGCACCAAAACTTTAGCGGCTTGACCGCTATGGCTCAGTGGGCCACTGACGTGAAATATTTGGCATCACCAGGAACGCAGCTAAAAACGATACTGATGAATTGAAATGGCATGCGCGAGTTCTCTATATGATAGTGCGACAAAGAATCCGAGGTTTCAATTGATTCAGTTCCAGGTTGGAGCGGTGGTGGACGTTTTCATCAGTTGGGATGCACACACCAAGTTTTAGCGCCCATATCACCTACCATCTCGTAAGCTGTTGCATTCCGCCATCACCGGGAACACAACCAAAATAACATTTGCAATTCAAAACACTATGCACAAATACCCTATGTAGCTGTGCGACACAGATCTGAAAGTTTTAATTGATTCGGGGCAAAGTTGGAGTGGTAGCGGGCGGGCAGCTTTCATCAAGCTCGCATATCTTAAGACCATCCACTGTTGAGCCGCGTGACACAACAGGCGGAGGAACAGAGTGATACGCGATTTCAACGGGATGGAGACCACAATCAAGTCCAGTGACAGAAAGAACGGCATATATATGATCTTTATATCTGGAAATGCCCAGAATTAATAAACTGACTTGTGCCTCTGATTGTAGAGATGCTCCCAATTTGCTGACGTTACTGAGCCTACTCCAAGAGCCCAAATGGATGTCCACCTTACCATTAAGCAAGATCTTGTACTACCAGGAAATCACGTATACAGCATGGATTCTCCAAGAAGTATTGACTAAAAATGTTTATCTTTGTCATGCGACGCAGGTTCACAATTAAGATATATTCTTTTTGAGTTATGTTTCTCCAGTATGGTGGCAGGCCTGTCAATCATAAGTGGACCGGCATGCAGGATGAGAACGCATCTCCAATTGAACCACATCGTCGCGTCGATAGTTGAGGATATGGTAATTAATCGCAAAGTTTCTAGCTCCGTGATGATGTTAGCCACGCCTTGATGCGACAACTGATGATGAATGTCCTGGCTATGGCGGTAATGGTCCCAGAAAGCGCTACACAATGTGACCAAACCTTGAAAAGGAAGCCTAATTGAATCACCTTGTCGCAACAAAATGTCAAGACAAGTTCCGGAAACGCGTAGATTTGTGCTTTCTTATGATCCTACATATAAGTCAGGGCTATAGCCGCTTTATAGATTTCCTGCTTATATTATGCAAATGATTCTTCTCCTCATGTTAGCCGGCGTTCTCGGTCTGTAGCGATGAAATTTACATCTGCCTGAATATTCAGAATACCCAAATACCTCTTATTAGTTCCCGTTCACCTCTAACATACATGTGCTAAACTACTAAGCTCTTCTGCTTCCTTGTATTTTCCTTGTTTCTTATATACCCTGATCAAGTCATCTGCGGAATGAACCGTATTGGGATGCTTCTTTCCAAGTTTCGTTTTACTCATTTCTAACACCTGAGCCCCTAGTTCTTCAGCCTCCTTCAACCGCCCTTGATCTTCGTATATCAAAGCCAAGTTAGACTTATCCTGGATCGTAGATGGATGTTCTTCTCCTAGTAGTCTCGTTCCTATATTTACCACTTGAATCGCCAGGACCTCGGCCTCATACTGACGCCCTTGATAAGTGTACAGAGACAATAGCCTATTCATGTTAAGTAGCGTTCGGGTATGCTCGTCCCCAAAGCCTATTCTAGTTAACTCCAAAGCTTGTCGTATTAGTTCCTCGGCATCTCCTATTCGTCCAAGGCGAGTATATATCAACCCCAGGTTGGATTTGTGCAACAGGGTCTCGGGATCCTCTGGACCAAGTAACCTTGTGCTTATCCATAGTGCTTGAACCTCAAGTGCTTCAGCCTCTTGATACCGATTTTGAAATATGTATGTCGTCGAAAGGCGGCTCATGCTGACCAGAGTTGATAGATGTCCTTCCCCTAAAATCGCCTTCTTAGAGTTCAATGTCAGGTTAAGGAGTTCCTCAGCCTCATGATAGAGTCCCTGGTGGAGGCGAAGTCGTCCTAGAAGATCCAAAGCATGAAGTGTCATTTCGCTTGCATCTCCTGTTGCTTTTCGATAGCCTTCAACTGCCCTGTGGATTATCGCTTCTGCGGATTCGTATTTCCTTTCTTCTATGAATACTTGAGCCAGCCTGGTCAATATACTCAGGGTTTGAATATGTTCAGCTCCGTAAGAAGCCTCTACCGTGTATAGTTCTTGTAAACACTCTTCTTCAGCTTGCTTGTAATTAGGTTGCTGGGGCATTAATGCAGAACTAGAATATGGATGAAAAAGGTGTGGGACTGGCGGATAAGAAGCTGACGTTTGAGCTGAAAGACTCTGATAGGTAGGGGCCGGACTATGTAGAGTAAAAGTGCTCCCATAACTCGGGATTAGCCTCTGGACGGTGGATGTAGGAGAAAATGCCATTGGGCCCCCAGTCACTGTAGTGACACGCCGCCCCTCCAAATCCATTTCTGAGAAAGCTGGACTGTTGGCTGTAGAACCTCTTTCAGAAATGGTTCGACAGTCCACGGCAGAAGGGGTAGCTTTCGCGTATCCTATCAGCTCTACTGCATATGATACTTGGTAAGCAATAACTTACATGCTGCAGGACTAGGAATATATAATTGTGTTTGAGAAATGTCATGTCTGTTCATCCATCGATCGATCTTGCATGGTTCGACTTCCCTGCCTCTGACTTTGAAGATTTGCTCTCTTTTATCACTTTCAAGGATCTTCCTCCGTTGTCGCTTTTTGACAATAGCAGCCATTTCTGGTGGCTTGATGTTCTTGTCCTTCCCCCAGTGGGTTATTCGCGTCCGATACTGACGTATCCTGTATCGTAATCAAGTTAGCAGAGTTTTGAACCTATCTTTCCTTGGAAAAAAACAGGCATACTCAGCAATAAACCCAAATTCCTTCTCTAACATTTTTCTAATCTCACTGAGAGGCTTCTTTTGGATGTCATGGAGTTCAAGGACTCGTGCTTTGTACGGCTCCCAGTCCTTGGCGCGGAGAGTTGGAGCTTTCTTCCTTCGACGCCTTGGAGGAGGGGCCGCGGCTCCGGCTCCGACATTGATGACAGGGGAGTCACCATGACTTCCGTGAAGAATACATCCTTGTGATAGAATAGATGGAATGGAGGCGTTCCGCTGGTCTGCAACGGATTGCTCGTCCAGAGCTTGGTTTTGCGGAGTTAAGCCATCAGGCTCCAGGTTCATGTCCTGTACATTGAGTGGGTTGAAGTCGAAGAAGATCAAAGAATTCATGCTCATATAAATTGTCCCCAAAGGAGAGAAAGTATTTAGGTAGTGAAGGAAAGAGAAAGAAAGGGTTGGAGACCGCCGCTTCGAGTCGGAGGAGATGCAATAAATATAAGAAAATTACTGTGACAAGAAGCTGAGAGGGCGCAAAAGTCCTATTTTTGGCCATAACGAAACCTGAACCAATAAACGGTGAATCGCCCAGCGTAAGCCGCCTCATTGCATTTCGCAAAAGTACTATTTCACACTGAGCGCCACAAAACACCTGTTTTTCAGTACGTACACCACGCCACAAAAATAATACCTGCAGCTTTAGTCCAATTATTGAGACCATCTGCAAAAGTACTATTCCAGCCTTGACAGTGGTATCAGTTTGCCGCCAACAGGGGTAGAGTTATTTTTCGTGATGACCAATAATAGCCGAGTCCTACAGTCCAAAATCGATTCTAACAATTACTTACTTTTCTCTGCTGTGCAGAGACCGAACTAGATCCCACCTGTCGTATCGTCTACTTTTATCCGTTACATCGATTCGTCTACGTGCTCCTCTAAACGATCGATTTAGAAGCCCTCCCACTGCTGCTTGATAGACATCATTAATGTGTCTATTGAATCAAATTAGCTTTATGCGTTTCTGATTTAGGATGACACTGTTTCTGTTGACGCTGGATTGCAGTAGGGTAGCTTTACCCGGATGCATGCATCCTTGGGGCGATAAGGTTGAGGTGAAGAGAGGCTTCAGTCTCAACACAAAGGCATAACAAAAACAGCAGAATTGGAAATATGCTCATTTGCCTTGTTGCCATCGTTGAGATTATGTGGTATTTATTTATTTATTGCTATCCTGTACTGAATGTTTAGTCCTGCGATATCTGAAACGAGGCGCATGGATCTGCACAGCCATCTGTGGCGTGAGTGCTCTTAAGAGACTACCATCTTTTCCGAAGATATACCGCTTATCGATAAACACCACAACAGCCTGCACGGGCCTCGATTAGCCAGTATCGCTCACTGCTCGTGAGTTCCACCAAGATTGAACGAATAACAGTATCGTGAAAGTGTCGGCTTGTTTATCTGGCAGACAGGGTTCCACTCAGTGAGTGATATCGGAAAGACATCAAAAAACGATTCCCCGCAAGGAGGAGGTATGTCGGTCCTTACATCTAGAACCCGATCAACCTGAGTCCTGTTGGTGGCTGAAGACTAGCTTGGTCGAATGACCCGATAGGGCAGTTGCAGCCTAACGCGTAGATATGTTGATAGCAGCACGGTCAGGCATGCGTTTGAGCTGTTTGGTTGGTATCTTTGACCAATCATCGTTACCTCAACACGTAAAGTGGGTATCCAGACGCAATCAAGAGAGTTACATCAGTGGGTTGCGATAGGGGCGTTCACCTTGATTACGCCTGGTAAGTGTACAGTTGCCGCATGGTACCTCGGAACCGTTGTGATGTTAGTTCCGCGTTGATCGTACTGAGCGTTTACAACTTGGATATAAAGCACCCTTTCGTAGCTCTCACCGTAGACCTCGCCAAGCTACAGCTCCATCCTCCAAGACCAACATCTGCCTCACGCTGCATTCTTTTACTCGCATCACCCTCAGAAATAAATCCCTAGCCATGGCCGAGAAGACGTCACAGCTAGCTGTTGCTGAGAAAAAACAGTCTCCTCTCCCTAGCAAGTTGGGCAAGGAGGACACTGATAGTGAGAGCATTGTGGCCGGTGAGAATTCCAGTACCGACGAGTCCGAGTTATTCCTTCAGCAACATGGATTCACAACCGAGTATCTCAATGAACTTGTATTGGACAGCGAGAAGAACAAGCGACTGGTGAAGAAAGTCGATATGGTGCTTTTGCCATTGATGGCCGGCACCTACGTCCTCCAGTTCATCGACAAACAAGCTCTCTCATACTCTGCCGTCTTCGACCTCCTAGATGATACCGGCACCACCCTCAAGCAGTATAGCTGGTTTGGTAGCATCTTCTACCTCGCCTACCTGGTTGCTGAATACCCATGGTCCTTCCTTGCGCAGAAGACTCTGATGGGCAAGGTCGTTGCTGGTTGCATTATTGCTTGGGGGAGTATAATGATGATCACTGCTGCTAGCAGCAACTTCGCTGGCCTTGCAGTATGCAGATTCTTCCTTGGCATATTCGAAGCCCCTATTACTCCAGTTTTCATGATGATCGTTGGCATGTGGTATACCCGGCAAGAGCAGCCTTTCCGCGCTGGCGTCTTTTACAGTTGCAACGGCATCGGCCTCATGCTTGGTGGACTCCTCAGCTTCGCCATTGGTCAAATTGACGGATTCAAAGTCTGGAAGGCCATTTTTATTATTTGTGGTGGCATCACAGTTCTTTTTGGGGGCCTTATGCTTTGGAAGCTGCCCGACAACATCTTGCGGGCCAAGGGCTTCAGCTTGGAGGAAAAAGCCTTGCTTATCGGTCGCGCCAGGCTGGCCAAGACTGGTGTGCTGAACCGCACTATCAAGTGGGCTCAGGTCTGGGAGTGTCTGGTGGACCCTCAAATCTGGCTTCTGATCATCTTCGTCTTGGTCAACGAGGTAATCAATGGAGGTGTTTCCAATTTCGGCTCTTTGATCATCAAGGGTCTAGTTGACGATGCACTTCTCAGCGTTGTTTTGGGCATTCCACAAGGTGCTTTTCAATGTTTCTGGATCCTTTCCGGAACTTGGCTGGCATCGAGGTACCAGAACATGCGGACTGTTATCATGGCTGTGTATAACATCCCTACAATGCTTGGTCTTTGTTTGATCTGGAAGCTTGACCGTGAGAGCCAGAAAATTGGACTTCTCTTCGGATACTACATGGTAACAGCATACGTGACTTCACTTGTGTTGGCCTTGCAAATGCCGTCTTCTAATCTTGGAGGCTATACAAAGCGCGTTACCGGTACTGCACTGGTATTTGCCGCTTACTGTGCTGGCAATGTTATCGGCCCACACGCCTTTCTTGCCCGCGAGGCTCCCATCTACCAAACTGGTGTTATCGTCATGCTAGCTTGTAGTGTGGCCCAGGTGGTGTTGGCTGTTATGTTGCGATACCTCCTGATCCTGAGGAACAGGAAGCGTGATCATGCTGCGGCCGAGTCTGTTCAGACGCCAGAGGATACAAGCGCCGACGTGACTGACTTTAATGTGAGTGCACCAGAAAGTACATATTGCGGGCAATTTAACTAACCAAAGCAGAATCCCCATTTCAGATACGTTCTGTAAGAGGTGGAGGCCAATAGGACTCACGGGTCGGATGGGCTGAATGAACTTTACGGCGGGGAATGCTTTGTAGTATTCAAAACAGCTTTGAAGTACATGGATACAATTCTTTACAGTTGAAGATCGTCAGGAACTAGCTTTCTCACTTTTATATATTGTATGTTCGTGATTTGTGATTTTGGGACATAAGGTACATACGTGAGAGATCATGGGGCATGTCATCTCTCAGCGATATCTCTGGAAAGGAACTTGCAGAAAATTACAAATCATGGAACCCAGCCGAACTAACACAGAAGCTCTGACATAGTAGTATTCCTCTAATTTCTGTCAGTCGGAATAAGCTCTCAGCCACAAGTCTCAACCGCAAATAAGTAGTATTCCTCATTCAAGCCCGCTGCGGACGTGTTTAAGCTAGATCTAACTGTGACTTTATCATCACGTTCCATACTTCAAGGCCCTTATCTAGATTTGCGTCCTCCATATTCTCAACTTTTCCCTCAGCCTTTAGTTCTTTAATCATATTCAAGCCAGTAGCACCCCAAGCTGGCTTATCTCCACACAAGTACTGATAGAATGGGTTCAGCCACTCGCTTACCAGGTCAAGATCAGCTTGCTCATATCCGGCCCGGCGTCCACAGGCCCACCAGATAGGGATATCAGAGGCATGACACATGCCAATATTCGGCTGGAGCCAGTTGTCCAGCGCCTTGGCACGCCATGAGATCCTGTACCTCAAGACACGTTCTTCAGGCATGGTCTTGAGCAATGAGGCGGCGAAGCCACGAATCGTAGCATGAACTTGACAGTCGCCGATGATGATTGATCCGATGTCGGCCCACTCATCCTTGTTGGACCCTGTTGTGGGAAGAGTGTAGTACTGCAGAAGGGCTTTGGTCACTTTTTCTGGGTAGTAGTTGCTCAGTTGCACCACAAGGCTATCGTAATCGGAAGCTGGGTTGACCATGCGGTAGAGAGTTGCTTCATCAGCGACCTCTCCTAGCATTACATCCACGCCTTGATTCGCTAGAAGTTTGCCAAATTCCCCAGAGTTGATGTCAGCCAAGAAGCTGGCGTTAACAAAGTCTCCATCTGTGCCAGCTCGGAAGGTATGTCGCTTCATTCGATGTACGGCCTTGATCAGCGTACCTGATGGTACCTGTCGCAAAGCATCAACTTTTCCTTGGGGAGAAAGGCCGATCGGTATACCGCACTCTGTAAGTAGCTCATCTACCTGGGCTTCGAGTGCAGGAGAAGACACATCGTTCGGCTGAACTCCAACCGCATTCGAGTGCAAGTAGACCCTTTTGATCAACCGATCGGCCTTGTTTGGACGTCTGACGTCATAGTTCAGTTGGAAGATAGATGAATATGCACCTGCAGATAGACCTCCTACGGAAATATTCTCAGAGTTCCCGCCAAACTCAGTGATGTTCGCATATGTCCACTCGAGGGCGGCACGCTGGTCCCAAAACCCATAGTTTCCTGGGGCGTGGGCCGCGCTGTCTTGCTGGAGGCCAGAGAAAGACATGAAGCCAAACAGATTGAGTCGATAAGCAGGAGCTACAATAATGCGAGGGAATTCCTGCATGAGATAAATTGGATCATGCATGTTCATGTGGTTCGCATCACCAACTTGAAGCCAGCCACCATCTGTCCCACATAGTCAGTAAAGCAATCGACCAAGGCCGTGTTACGCGTGAACTTACGGATGTAGAACTGGACTGGCCAGCCATCGGGCGGTGGGCTCTGAGCAGGTACCCAAATGTTGACGTATAGGCAATCCTCGTCAAAGACAGTTTCTGGCTCTGGAACGCGATCAGGGTTCAGCACCTCTGCCGCTCCATGTTTGTAATGAGGTTGGGGGCAGACGGGGGGAAATCTCGTGTAATCGCCCGCAACGCCATCTGCATCGTCGTATGAAAAGTCCGTCGGGAGCTTTTCTGGGCGACGCCACCTCCGATCACCAGTAGGTGGCAGAGCGTATGGAACACGGGTGAAGCGATAATAAGCTAGCTTTTGTGTGGCATTGTCAATCCTTTGGACGCCTTTAAGCTTTCCCTTGCTTGTAGTGTGCACGATTGGCTTATCAGTTGACAGCGTTGCGCCCATTGTAAAGATTGCTGCTGGCGATGTTGTGAGGAGCAGGGTTGTTCCATTCAAGGCTGGAGAGAAGTATCGTTTTGATGGTCACTCGGAATATGCATTCCGAATCGGAAATATACCTTCTCGGTAAGAACTACTGAATCAAGATGTTGAGGAGAAGTGTTCCTTGCGATTAGCGCCCTTTAGCGACTGTGTTGCACCTTGCATAGATAGCTGTCGGCCCCTACTTCTACAATCCGAGCGACCTCCACCATGTGACCTTTACAACGCAACTCTGAACCATGCACTCACTGCGATTTCTCTCGTGAAATCTGACATTCTCTGAAGATCACATCTGGAGATTGCAGCATGCAGCAAAGCTGTCGAACGAACATGATGGTGCCTCTAGACTCAGGAATGTATCATACATAATTAGGAGTCGCGCTGCCTCCAAGCCAGAGCATACCACTCATCAGAACAAAAACACACCATGAAGGGAGTAACGCCTTGCACAGAAGAACCTTCTCTCGAAGCTTAGGGGCTGCTAGGGGACAGTAGCTCACATGTTTCGCCGCCAAGCCCTGAACACTTTAGAGAGAAACCCCTCCTTGTTACTCGGGATCAAGACAATATACGATTTATAATCCACTTCTGCAACGTACGCTGATTCGCATCAAGCGCTGTCCCTAATGTTGATCTAGAACAATGTGGGATCAAGTCAGATATGCAGATCTCTTCTTAAAAGCAGGGACCGAGCAGACAATCCTCCTAGTGAAAGTTGGAGCAACGGCCTGCAATACCCGATGTGTTCCTGTTTGATGTCTGGTGTCTATGCGCCATCCGTGGCCTCTCCATCGCCGGTGCGAATGACCAGTAGATCATGGTGTCTATGCTGGTTTTATGTAACATTCATAATGTTCCAGAGACGTTCAAACCACGAGTCGGTATATCTGTCTCAAAATGCAGCAATCTCCCTCGTTTCAGACAGGGGTCGTGGTTTGTTTTGCCTTGTTTAAGCAGTAGAAGTCTGATCAACTAGCTACCAGCCTTAAAGCTTTTGATAATCCCTCGCTATGACGTTGAATTGTACTGTCTCCACGACACGTAGCCTATCTCCAAATCTCGACGAAGGGTCTGTGGCGTCAACTTGATAAAATCTGTGGGACTAATTTGGAGAAGCAATCCCTCAAAATTCCACTTTAGCTCTCTTGCTCATAAGAAACTCAGAACCAACCAAGTAAGAAACCCGCCAGCTTGTCATTCAAGAACTGATTCCTCTCATGGAAATACGTCACTGGCTCCAGAGCGGCTGAACAGCGGCAGACGATCCGTTATGTGCCCCAAGACGTCTCCATTCAGTGTTCCAAGTGTACGCTGCTGGAATCTGAGATCAAACGACAGATAAGTGGAGTACCCTTGAGGGGTTCGCATAGTAGTGAGTTGAGACTAACAACAGTTTGACGAATTATACACTTCCTGAGTAGTGTTCGGGTGTGGAGTACGGCAAGCCGAGAATTACTAATCATGCCATGGTTCATGAATATCCACGACTTGCCGACCACTCGGCACAGACATATCCGTTATGGATTGGGGGAATCTAATGTTCTACAACTGGCTTGTCGCAACAACGGGTAAGAGGATAGATATTAATATATATAACCCAAATTCCTTCTGCGACCAGTCGGTGCATGAGTTTCCAGGTATTGTAGTTTAGCTGGCAGGATACTGAAATCGGCGATTCGGCTTCTTATAAAGTTCCAGCGGGGTAAACTAACTAAAGAATCGGGAAGTGGAGAACATATGTTTCCCGATTGCCTTACCCCATGCATACGCTGCCAGGCTGGACTAGAACTATAAAGGGACTGGAAGGAAGTGTAGACTGAGGTCAATGTATGTAGTGGGAAATCTATAACTGAAGCTTATATAATTTCCAGAAAAAGCCTATAAAAGGTCAACAGCAAAATGCAGATTGACTTTCTGCAGACAAACACGATGCTGATGCTTTTCAGCATCTTGTCAGTAGTGTGGCTAGTTAAGGTGGTGACCCTGACCATAACCTGCAAACGCCCATGACCCCATCGCTGACAGATTTCTTCAGGTGGTTCAGCGAGCATATTTTACTCCCTTACGTGGCATACCAGGGCCATTTTACGCCAAGTTCACTCATCTGGTGCTAAAGAAGCACATCCTTCGAGGTCGAAGAATGTACTACATCCATGAACTTCATGCAAAATATGGCCCAGTAGTACGCGTGACACCTGATGAAATCGACATCGCCGACCCTGCGGCCTTCAAGGAGATTCACCGTATTGGCGGTGGGTATTTGAAAACCGACTGGTATGAGTCTTTTCGCAAAGGAGATTGCCACGATGTATTCTCCATGACAGATCCCAAAGAGCACGCCCGACGAAGAAAGCTGTTTGCGCCGCTCTTCAGCAACTCAGCGCTGATGAAAAACTGGTACCCCGTCATTAGGGATAAGGTAGCGGTGGCAATTCGCAAGATCAAGCAGGACGCAGCTCAAACAGGCGATGCTGACATCTTTAAATGGTGGACATTCATGTCTGCGGATGTCATCTCACATCTCTCATTTGGGGAGCCGCTCGGAATGCTTGATCATGAGAAGGTATGGCACCGAGAACACAACAACTCAGGTCTTTGTACAGGATACTGATATACAATACATAGAAAACCGAGAGCATGCAAAAGATTGAGGATGCCACCAAGTTCGGGTTGGTTTCATCTGAGCTACCGCTACTATGCTCCATCCTTAGATGGATCCCAATCGATGTGGTACAGAACTTGATCAATGCCGACGATGAAGTCCAGAAGCACGCAGAGGAGACAATGAAGCACGTTCGCAACAGTGGCATAGGCGCAGCCAACATATTCTCGAGGCTAGTTGCCGAAAGCGAAAAGGACAGTGAGGCGCTGACTGATTACCAATTGGCGTTTGAGGCCGGAGGCTTCATCGTGGCCGGCTCCGGGACTACTGCCGTAACACTGACCTACCTAGTCTGGGCCGTCCTCTCAAACCCCGATATTCAGGCCAAGATAGAAGCAGAGGTCGCAGCATTGCAACCCGATTATACAGATGCCGATCTTGAAACTCTTCCCTATCTATCTGCCTTGATTCAGGAAACTCTTCGTTTGTACTCTGCTGCACCGGGAGCAATTCCTCGAAGGGTGCCCAAGGGGGGTGCAACGCTGGCGGGCTATTTCATACCTGAAGGTATCACAGTCAGCACTCAAGCCTATACGTTTCATCGGGACAGTAATATATATCCTGAGCCAGAGAAGTAAGTATTCCATACAAAATCCCGTGAAAATAGACTCCCGGTACTAACTATGCCAGATTTATGCCCGAGAGGTTCATCTCGCCCACAGGGGAATACAGATCGCCTGAAGGCGTATTTGCAGCATTTGGTGCGGGCTCTCGTACTTGCTTGGGGGTTCATCTAGCACTTATAGAGCTCCGACATGGCGTTGCGGTTTTCTTCCGCGAATGCAAGGGCGCCCAGCTGTCCACTCGAACAACGCCTGAATCTATGGAAATGGTTAACTATTTCCTCGTCAGCCCAAAGGCAGAGCAATGTTGGATTAAGCTTCATTAAGCATCAAGCTAAAATATAATAAGTTAAAACTTGTTATCACAAATGGTTATTATTTTAATACAGACTAAGAAGGAGCACCAGCTTACCTTAGGTACTCCTGAACTACTACCGGGGTCCTGCCACTTATCCAGGACGCCCCAGCTCATCATACTATAATACCTGTCTAAATGGAAGCACCAACAATAGATCAGGCTCCGAACGAAGAGGCAATGGACCTTGATTTATGGATTTCTTTGCTCTAGAGTACATCAAGTAAGAGGTCCAATCCCGGAGCTCCGAGCCGCAACTCTCCGAGTACCGGTGCCCCCGGAAAGAGAAGAGCGAAGGCTTCTAGTTCATTTTAACAGTATCCATACCCGGAACCCGGCTTCCCAGATTTCGGGATTCCTCTATATCTCGCTCCCCTATCCACGGAATGAGAGAAAACAGTCTGACAGGTTCCTTGAGTGCTACGTTCCGTTAGAGACTTGTACCTATCATTGTTCTAGATCTGTCAAATATAGCCATCATGGGACGAGGCTTTCCATCTGCAACCGGAGCTTTGATTTGCAACCCAAAGTGTAACAACAAACTTCAGCCTATTGCCGCTTGTGACCAGGCGAAGGCCAATCTCGAACAATTGTTCTCAAGATACTGCAGGTAGTATCACAACAATCACAAAGCAGAGGTCATTTCCTCTCCTCACAAAGCCGTGATTCTCCGTGCGGCCGTCATGTCACTGAATTCAAGCCTCGGGCCTCAAGCGTCGAAGGTCCACTGTAGGAGTGCCATCACGGAACTCAGAAAATCGTGGTTGGGCTGCTGGACTTGAGTTTGTTGAGATCCGTCCTTCGAAGATTAAGTTTCGGGATTACGCCGTCGGAGCTGAAACATCGGGATTCAATTACTGGACTTCACCACTGCAACTATTTCCCAACAAAATCAGTATTAGGAGAGTTTAAATTACCGAGACAAGTTATAGCTGCCTTCACTTTGTGAAAGAATAATCACTATGCCGTAGAAGAAGATGGTCCCATTAGTATTGCCTTCTGTCCAGAAACCCTAGTATGAATTTACGAAGATATAGACCTGTTAGGTAGTTCTTTTTTATTCCAGCCTTCGAGTTACAGAGAATACTCCTCCGTCCTTTTCCCGTGTTGCTGGTAAGCTATCAAGGCCGTTGCCGGCACCGACGAAGCTTCAAGACGGGATTCTGTAGCCATTAATCAGTCATCGTGGTATCGATGTCTAAGTTATAGACTAGAAGTGTTATTTACAGTTAAGACTTGTGGCTGTGAGCTTATTCCGGCAGAGATAACCTAGTTTGCTTTTGGATATCTCGGCGCATCAGGCCGACCCCTACCACGTCCGGGTTGCAACCGCAGAAGATTCGGTATCTGAGTGATCCAAAGACGCCTGGATCTTCTAAGTCCGCCTTAAAGGTATGCAGGAATTCGTCTACACGCAGTCGGCTGTCCGGCCGGTAGGATAGGCTTTAAAACTTGAAACGAGCTCACTTTTAGACCTTACTCTCGTCGAATAAGAACTCTACTCAAGCTTGCATCTGCTGCAGAGGCCCTTAATATGTGATTGAAAACTCTGTATGCTAGACAGGGAACGATATTATTCGGATATAATCCTGACATGTAGGCATCTCTTACAGTAAAGATCAATGATAATAACTGCTGACAATTAACTTGCGCAGAATTAGCGAGTTTTATTTGCATTGAAAACTTGACTTCCTATGTGCAACGGTGAAGCAGTGCCTGCGAGTGCGAATGAGCCAACCTGGCATTGTGCTAACGAGTGAGCGATCCTAGGTGGAACCGAACTCTGACACTCGAATTGTTCCAGGTTGACTACGATTGTCACCAGGCAACGAAGAACATACAAACTTATGATCGTTGGGCCACCAATAGCTTGGTGCTTGGGTTACCTGCAGGGCTGCATAGTGCTGATACGATTGTAAGCCCCCTGTGGAGTAAAATCCCCCCTAGCTGGTCGGAGAAACAAAAACCCCTACCTCTGCGTCTCTATTTTTAGACTCGTTCGATATCCGAGTCAGACAGACTCGGCCGAAGATGGTTTATATTATAATAGCATATACCATTTTCCCATTATCAGCAACCTTCAGTATATCCATCCATATGCTAATCTTGAATCAAAATCAGTCGTGATAGATAGGAATAAGGCATATGCACGGATTAAGAAAATCCGAAATTCAACAAGACTCATCATACTATTTACACGTTTGCTAGATCTACCAATGCTTCTCTGCAATGTCAACGGTATTAACATCGACACCATCAACGAACCAACGCTCTCCCTCGGTAATCTTCACATCGTTGCCACTCATCTGCCTCTTTCGCATGAGCCCATTGTCTGCAAAAGTCCAGTCCTCAAGTCCGTAGGTCCTCCACCATTGCCCGGCTGCATCAGTCCATTCATACCAGAACTGCACCGCAATCTGTAGAGACTTGTCAGAATAGGATTCTCTTTGTTACACGCCGACAGGTAGACGACCGCAGTCCCTGCACTTCATAAACTTGCCTTGTTGTCAGTGAATGCAAAGAGCTCCTTTCGGAGCTTGTAGTTAGACTCCTTCTCCCACTTCTTTGTGAGGAATTCTTGGATCGCATCGCGGCCCTGAAGGAAGTGGTCACGATTACGCCAGATGGAGTCGGGCGTGTACGCCAATTCAACCTTTGCAGGATCTCTGTACCCAGCGTAAGCGAGGGACCATTCGCATCCTGTAGTCTTAACTTAATGGCTGTTCCATCCGTCTTGCGCAGCCTTGACCTTGATTTGTGCCGTTTCGAGTGTGAAAGGAGGGCAAGGTGGCCTGGTCTCCTGGTTGCTCATCTTGAAGATGTTTCTGATTCTGCCTGACTTGATGTGTGTGACTTGATGCCTTTGCTTGAATGTGCTATTTGATGCGTGTGAATCGACTGAGTAAACAAGTCTCGGACGAGCCGAGATATATTTATATTAGTAGACTCGGTAGATCAAACGTCAGTCTAGCATTAGTACCTCAGCTATTCCTCCGTCTTACTTATCGCCGCCGCCCGCCGCCCGCCGCCTGCTGCCCCACCAATCCCACTTAGGTATCCCACGTAGCGGCTGGCCGGCCCCAACCCTGAATCATGCTACGCCTTGTCAGAGACACGGGTATCCACGAGAAGAATGTAAGCGCGAAATAAGTAGAGGTCACCCAACGGTGGTTTTGTTACTGACTACAAGCCCTTCATTCCTCTGGTAGTAATCATTACGCAGCTCGGCCGTCCTCGGCACGATAATATTTCTGAAAATAGTAACGATATGATCTAAAGCTGAATAATCCCTATAAGGGCGTATCAAGTTTCTTCTTGGATTGACAAATCCCTGACAGAGACTAAGAGTGGTACGGTTAGTTATATACAGGGTGCCCATGCTCATCCTACTCGCTACTCCGATGTTTCACCAGCATCGGATTCCTGACCTTCTGGACTATATGTTGCCAGCCCTGCTAATGCAGTAGGCTGGATATATCTGTATCTCCATTAAACTTCTATCTCTATTTATCATTCTAATGCAGAGTATGCTATATTTAAGATTTACTTCCTCTAAGGAATAAGGATACTTGCAAAGCAGTCCACAGTAATGAAGGCTAGTATCTAGACTATACATGGTATATTAATAACTTATCTCGACAACTCCCTTTACCTCGATATTGGGGTTCTCTTTATGAATAACCTCAAGGAATGCCCACCCGGCAGCGTTAAACCATACTCAAAGCGATAACAATCCGTACCTCCACCAAGCTAATGAATCGCTACTACAGCGCATAAGCCATACATAACCCACTCTTAACGGTCAAAAAGAAGAAGCAGTCATGGTGTTGGGGGTTCCTTGTAATTGCATGTCATCTCTCGCGACTGAGTAATTCCGGTAAGCGGCGATGTCGTCGGCCGCTCTGCCAAAGCTCCTGTCGGCTTTCGGAGATGGTGACATCTCAAAGTCTGCAAAGATGCAAGCGCCGCATCGGATCCTACAGGGATCAAGTGGGAGACAAGGACTGCCGTGTGGGATGGGTAGATTTTTTTCACTTACTCGGAGACAGTAAGCTAATTTCTACGCTCGCAAAGTATTACCTTGAGAACTTAGCTCGACAATGTCCAATGGCTTACACAATAGTGCAGTCGTAAGGCTTGCCCATGTCGCCATTCGTGTCTGCGATAAATTCCTCGACCATGTGACTGGAGTCGGTGGGGCAAGGGTTCAACATCTCCACCTCCGTTCCCACCGAGATCCCCGACATCGACACTAACCAGAAACAGAGATAATGCGGCGAAATAATGCGGCGAGATAACGGATCAGCGGCGAGCGGGCACCTGTTTTTCGGATCCTTATACGACTCAAGTTTGGGGCCGCGGAGAAAGCATGCCCTCATCCTCGAAGTCACCCACTCGGAGAACCTTCGGGACCATATCTGGGACCAAGTCAGAGCAAGGGAGCTGTTGTTCCTTATCATCGATAACGTTCATTCATTGCGTATAATGTACCATCATTGATGCTTCACCTATGAGGGAGCGCACACAAATCCTCGGTCGCCTCGGCATGCGCCGCAGCAAGAAGCGACTTACGACGGACTGTAAAATACCAGGCATCATCCGTTTCTCCCATCTCTCACTCATCAAGGCCTCTACCATCACAATCAACATAACAAATACCTGATACTCCTCGTCCCAGTCAACTACTCTTCCTCGCTACTCAACAAGCAGCAAACAATTGTCACTCGATATCTTTTACATCCCTCACAATGCCCTGCGAAGCTCGACTTGCAACTCTCGACGTATGTTCTCTCATCCCGTGGACAGACGCCGCAAGAAGACTCTAACTTTAGTGACTAGCCGCTCATCGCAGAGAGGGTTCCACCTCACTGTGCGGCGTTGTTCGAGGCCAAGCAGGCAAAAGGCCTAACTTTTGAGGCTATCGCCAAGCATCTTGGGCGCAGCGAAGTAGCATGCGCCGCACTGTTCTATGCTCAAACTACTGCTACGGACGAGGACATCAAGAAGCTCTCCCAGCTCCTCGACCTACCACTGCCAATGCTAACCAGGGCTATGGCCGTATTCCCTAACCGTGGTCACTCAGGCCCTATGCCTCCTGTTGAGCCGCTTATCTACCGCCTATACGAGGTTGTCCAGAACTACGGCTATGCATACAAGGCTATCCTTAATGAGAAATTCGGCGACGGTATTATGAGCGCTATTCGCTTTGGCACCAAGGTCGAGAAAGATATTGACGAGGAGGGTAACCCCTGGGTTGTAATTACGATGCGAGGAAAATGGTAAGTCCCCGTACCAATGACGTTCTAGAAAGGGCTTGTGTCTAACTGCAACCTGTCAGGCTCCCTTCCAACCGATTCTAGGATGGAGGCGGGTGGAATAGTAGCTTAGGATATGGTGAATGATACGAAAGCTTGCGGCAAGGGAATCCATCATAGTTCCGGTTATAGTTCTTCAGATTCTGCACCAACGTGTTCACATCACAGATCGGCATGGTACTGAAGCTAGGGGTACGCGCACCAGCTTTAAATATCAGGTCTTTCTTAGATTACTTCTAGCGCTAAAGAAAATAATCGCATTCTAGATTAATCTAACCAAACTTATTCGACTACTACCTGTCTCTTCTAGTGACATATTGGTGCTGCTAGTTATTAATTGTTGTAGTTATTAAAGGTAAACATCTGGGTCCAGTAAAAGCTGAAATCGATGTCAGATATAGATGACCAATCACCACCGAGCTCTCCTTCGAGACTTTCGGAAGAGTAGCTAAGATCAAAAGGATTCGCGCTAAACTCGACAGTGCCAAACGGAGGATTCGTGGGCTGTTGCTGTGGCGATTCCTGGCGTTCACCTAATCCTTCCAGATGGGTTCTTTCTAGGCCTTGTGATAGGGAAATAGTGACCCTGCCGAAATACGGTAAGACAACGTTATACTTTTCTGGACCAGTGTAGGTGCCCCGTGCCGCCTGTGTAAGGAGGTCCAGCACCTCAGCGGCCTGGCTAGCGACCTTACACTGCATCACGCTTGCTGTACGCCGCAAGCACATAGTCAGTGCGTTAATAAGTGGCCAGTCCTGGTCGACGTTATTGCCATCGCTCGACCGCTTGCCTGATGTAAGTGACAGGAGGCGGATAAGCAGTGTGATTCCAGCACTAAAAGCTTGAAAATCAAGCGACTCGCATATGACAAACAGACCCTTACTGCAGCTCCTCAGCCCGAGATAAGCGGCTATCAAGCTCCTCGAGGCATCGACAGCTGATACGCGACTGTACTCATACCCATCGTCGGCGCTGAGCATAAAGGGCAGGTGTAGCATCTTGGTGACGAGAAAGAACTGCACCTTAAGTGCTTGCTGGATATACAGCTGCGTGAACGGCTGGTCCTGTTGTGGAGGTTCGTCCCACCAGCTATCAGGCATAAGGGCCCGGCATGCCTCAAGCTTGTGACTGATCTGCATAGTGACTAGATAGCTTGGCTGCGGACTCTGGTTCCTAGCCACGACAGCCGCGGCGAGGCTCTGAACTCTGTGCAGGAGCACATGGAGCGGGTTATTGCCGTTGCTTCCGCTGCTGTTATACTCGGGGATGGGGATAGTGCTCGGCAAGCCTAGGATCAGAGCCAAGGTGGTCTCGAGACGCCATATCTCATTCCATATAGCTGCTTCGCGGCCTTGTCCTCTTTCTTCTGTGGCACGATGAAGACGCAGGAGCAGCGCCTCATCCGTGGCCCGACGGACGATAAGCCAGGCCTGGCGTGGCCTGCCCATGTCTACATAGATCCTCTGCTGGATAAGCTGGGCTTCAATGTCGTCTAATGTGTTATTCGTCCTAGTCGCCGATGTAAGCAGTTTGCTGGCTGTTTTTAAGTATAACGCAAGAAGGGCTTCGTGTGATAATTCGCAGTGTGACAGCTGCAGTGTCTTTGGCGCTTGTTGAATACAAAGTGACAGCCAGAGCCAGGCCTTGGCTGCGATGCTGGGACTGCTGGACCTTGCCATGCGAGACAGGAACTCAGCGGCATATCTAACTCCACTGGCTTGGAGAATGGGCATATTCGGAGGCAGGGCGCCGTACTGCCAGGGTGGCCAGATGGGCCAATATTGCTCCGTTGCCGCGAGGACCATCAATAGATCGTCATCATGCAGCATCGGAAACCATGGCAAATTGACGGGGTCGTTGGCTTTGTTTCTTGTGATTGGCTCGGGGTAATTAGACTGCAGTTCTTCTGTCATGCTGGCCGCCTTGACAAGGGTGAGCAGCGGCGCATCCTGGAAGCCAAAGGCTTTACAGGCTATGCCGGACTCGTCGGGCGTTGTAGTATGGGTAACGATCTCAACATCGGCCATTGAATCCGTCTCGGCGCCAGCATGACTTTTCATGCTGAACGTCGTGGATGGCCCCGCTGGCAGTGGCTCTGTGACCGATGGAGATGTCCCTGTCATGGCCAAACTAGCCCAGATGTCGTGCACGTTGGTTTCGATTTCGGCGAGCCGCTGGTTCAGTCGCGCTTCTCCCGGGGGTGACGAGTCCCCCAGCGACATGGTGTCCTGCGCTGCTGGCTGCTGAGCGAGGCATGGAATGCTTCGCAGAGCACATTGCTGGCATGGTGGTCGGCGTGGCTCGGTCGGAAATACACATCGGACTTTTCGCCTTCGACACTGGGCACAGCTTCGCGTGCCTAAGCGCATTGGCTTGGGGTGAAGACCTTGCGACATTATTTTTATTATTCAATCAACAGACTGTACCTGAGGAAAAAGTCGTGTATAGAATAGAGATGGAATGTTGTGACGTGCGGGCTTGCGCGAGCTAAATCGCATCAGTTCGGCCGAGCCCGCACGAAAGTGGGGCTTTGTCCGGGCTCCGACGGGATCGCACTAACATTTGATGTATCAAGCGTCCGTTTGAAGGCCATGCTGGCCAAGCAGCCACAAGTGATGGCAACGACAGTGCAGAGGCTTTTACTGTGACTCGGGTTATTCTATATAAAAGGCCAGGCTATTACCACTCTTCATCAAGTGTAGTCTTTCCTTGCTAAGCCAGAAGCATCTACAACAGCAGCAATCTACCACCAGACATCTACTGCCAGTATTGCAGGCAAGGCCTCGCCAAGGAAATACCCATGGAACATTTAATCGCGCTTGTCACTGGAGCCACATCAGGCCTTGGTTATGCAGCAGCCCTCGCCCTTGCTGCAGACGGCTGGCAAGAGGTCATCATCACCGGACGCAGACTGGCTCGAGCCCAGGAAACGGCTGCTCAGCTCGCAAAAGAAGCAGGAAAACATGTCTTTACACCACTAGAGCTGGATCTGAATGAATCGGCAAGTACTCAATCCGCCGTCGCCGAGCTCGTCAAGCGAGGTACACCGATCAATTTCCTCCTCCTTAATGCAGGGTTAGTCGGAGGCAACAAGCGCGTGCTTACTACCGCAGGCGTCGAAGCTACTCAGGCCCCGCTAATCGGTCATCATCAACTGGCTGTTGGGCTCCTCAACGCCAACCTGCTGAGCTCCGAGGCGCGGATTGTTGTTTCTGGTGCAGAACCTGCCCGAGGGGATATGCCCCTCTTCAGCTTCACAGACGTCGCCGCCTTAGCAGCCCAACACCACCAGGGTGACCGAGCCGCTGCCATTCAAGCAATTCTGCGAAGTGGAAGGGGTGTCAAGTACGCTGCCAATCGGGCGTATGCCGATGCAAAGCTCATAATCGTTTGGTGGGTTGCTGCCCTGGCACGTCAATTACCCTCTGGCATGGCCGTATACGCTGTATCGCCCGGCAGTGCGCCAGACACCCAGGCGTCGCGTAACGCCGGACTGGCCATAAAGTGGGTGGTGCTTCCCGTACTGAAGCTTATCCCTGGCATGTCGCAGACTCCTGAGACTGCTGCGAGGCGGTACCTCGAGGCATATCAGTTTGGGACTGACGTTTCAGGGCTATTCTACGCCTCACCACCCAAGAAGGTCACTGGCCCGATCGAAGCAATGCAGCATCCGCACTTGCACGATCGCGATAACCAAGAGGCGGCGTGGAAGGCTGTTGTCAAGGTCTCCGGTATTAACATAATGAATACGAAGTAATGTCTTTTTGAGGGTAATGCCACCAGGATAGATTAGTCATGTTTACCTCATAGTAGCCATCCTCATTTATATTATTAGGATCTCATTCGCTGTCGCTAGTTTCGCTCAGAAACATGTTTTCTATTGAGCTGCTGTCCCTTTCTCCCCCACGACGCTTGTGGCAATAGTTCATCAGCAACAGTTAATACTGACATTAGTGGTGATGGAATCCGATTACAAGCATTACCGCAAACAGCGGTCCCTTTTTGGTCGTGTTGGCTTGGCATCCACAGAGTGTCTGAGCGTCTTCTTAATACGTATGTTATAACAGTAATTAGACTTGTTGAATGTGATGAAATCAGGCACACCGTGAACTTTTCACGTCGATCAATCCCAGACATGCTGCGGAAACGAGAGATTAAGGAGGTTATGGATCATACTCTAGCAGCCTTTGATGTCATTGAAGCATTCTCGCACTTAACATTCGCTTAACTGTGCCTTTTGGAAGCAACAGATCCAGCTTATTGTCAAGACGAAAGGCTGGGTTCTTAACTTGAATACTAGTATTGCGCAGTGAAATGTTAAATACCACATACTATAGCTAATAGCTCAATCTCTAGACAGTCTTTATCATTCGTAATGATAAAATCATCGGTTAGACTGCAAAGGATATTAGACTACGGCCTCAAGCATTTCATGGCATATAGACAGGGATGCTCACTCTTCAGAAGTCATGGCGCGTGGGAATAATCTGACTAATGATAGGGTAGCGAAAGCCGAGATAAGAGACTCGTAGTCAACCTTGCTCAAGCTTGTAGGGTGTCTATATAACTAGGGATGTAAAGCAGCCTCTATTTGTGAGGACTTCAAGTTAGTGAATGGAATCCAAAGCGCTAACGTCAGACAGGCAGGGCAGTGGCTTAGGCCACCCAAGCATGACACGTCACTCAATGTCTTCATAGATAAAGTAGGGTTCAAGTCTTCTAAGCTGTTAATACTGGGGACTAAATGATCAAAATCCTATAAAATGCACAAAAGTTACAACTTCAACCTTCGAACTCTTTGATAATTAGCAGCAAACACTCAAAAGCATGATTCGACCGGCGGTCCAGAGATGGTATCTGCAAGGTAAATCATCGAGTGTAGGGTTTCTCCTGCATCTGAGATCCTGCTATCCACCCGTATAAATGTTAGAAATAAGCTTTATATTCAAAACCCCATAACTTATTTAGTATAGAAGCTTTATTTAACTAAAAACCTAATCCTAATTATAACTAAGTCTCTAATAGATAAGCTTTTTTTCTAAATGCTACTAGCCTATTTAACTTTTCCTTATAATTATTTTACTTAATAACTTATCTTTATACTAGGTTTTACTTTATAGTTTTAATTACTTTATTTTTATTATTTAGTAATTTATTTTTCTTATTATATATAGGCTTTTTTTAGGGATACTCTTTAAGTAATATATATATATAAATACTATAACTAAAGTAAATAAAATCTATAAAAACTATATTTTTTATATTACTTTTTTTAATAGCTTTATAAAGGTATATAAAGCCTTTAGTTATATTAAGCTTTTAGTATATATTATTATTAATGTAATAAAAATTAATTAATATAAAGGATATTATATTACTATAAGTTATTTATAGCTAGGCTTTAATTAACTATATAATAATTATAATAAAAGTTATTTTAAAAATATTATTTTAAGTTAATAAACTTACTTTTAATAAATAGCTTACTT